TCTTTTGAGCCACAGGCACTGCCCAGGGCATTTTCTAGATCATTTCAAAGCACTAAAATGTTCTTGGTAAATGACCTCACAGTAGCCTTCTGAGGGGCACTTCTTATTCCCACCTTACACAGTTAAGCTGACACACAGAGCTGGGACTTACCTAAGCCACATAGCTCTGTTGATTCCTGGTTCAATATCTGCCCCAAACTCACCTACTTACTTCAACCAGGAGAGGATTATATTAGATAGCCCGTGCTATTGTATGGGTGTAACCTTGTTCATGGAGACACAGTTCTTCATGAACCACTACTATTGAAGCCATTCTTTACAATTTCCAGCTGGTTTTCAAAAAAGTAGAATAAAGTTTTATGGAAAGAAATCTGTTTTCATTATGTTTATCCACACTAACTCATATTGGAACTATGAATAAAAAAGATGAAGTAATTGCAAGGCAGAAAAATTACCTGGGAAAACACTGTATGAAGATTAGGCCTTTTGAATATGAAGAATTTGGAAACCCCAACACCATCAAAACTAGCACTTGGAGAGGGGGAAAATCATGAATGTACTCTAAGAGGTGGAGGTAAGAATAAGTCTCTTGGGCCAATGTCTTCATTTTGGCCACCAAAAACTATATTTGAGAGTATAAAGTGGCTATTCGGAAAAATGTGACTTTACTAAGAAACACAAATGCACACACCTAATTTGTAGAATCAGAACTGATCGAACCATACTTAATACAAAATGCAATCACATTATTAGTGTATACCATTCAGAGGAAAGGGCAGACTGAAGTATTAAAGCTCCGCAAGGATCCCCGTCACCTCGCTATGCTCATCTGTGAATTTCACTGGTAAACTGGGAATGCCTTGGACCCTCCCCCAGTCCAGATGGGCAGGATTCTGATTTTGTCAAGAGTTTTCCACACCCAACTAATCCCTTTAAAATCTTATATATAGCATATGAAAAATACACTGTGGAGCTTTTAAGTACTTAGAAAAATGTAAAATGTAATTTGTGGCTTTGTCTACAAGATCTTGTCTGATTCTAGAGCAAACCAGCTTGATCAAAATGAGCAGTTCTCAACCTGTGGGTCATGACCCACAGGAACTGTATTTAAGGGCTGTGGCATTAGGAAGGTTAAGAACCACTGGTCAAGACCAAGGGTTAGGATAACAGCAAATTTGGTTTGCTGTGACCTGCATCAACTGTCACCCCCTCCCCCAGAAGATGCAGGTCCCGTTCCCTTTACATACATCCAGCTGTGGCAGGCTAAGGATGAGGTCTGACTGAGAAAGCAACTCAAGAGAAAAGGGGCTACTACTGAGGTAGGGCTTGTTTAGCAAAGGCCCTGTAAGTTGGAATGTGGTCACTTCTTTCCACAAGTTACTATCTCCCACTTGGGTGGAGGAACTAGGGGTGTCCAATCCTTTTTCTTTTCTGCCACACATTGAAAGAAGAGTTGTTTTGGGCTACACACGAAGTACACACTAATGAAAGCTGATTAGCCAAAAAAAAAAGAAAAGCTCCCTACATGCTTTTCGCAATACACACCACCACAGATGAGCAAAGCAGCCCTCACATCATCTGCACGTGGTCCTCAGAACTAGACTACAACCTCTGGCTCTTAAAGGAAGGGGACTAGCTTTTCTGTCTGCAGATGTGTAGCCACTGATGGGCCCAGATAAACTGCTACATTATATGTGAGGAAAAGGATGCACACAGACTTAGCTGTGGAGAGGGGGTAGAATACAAAATTGAAATCTTATTTAAAATTTTTAAAAGTTTAACATCAGTAAGTACTAAGAAAACCAGAAGTCAAATCCAAAATGTCATTATTTTACATAAAGATTAGGCAGATCTAAGAAATGAGTATATTTTCACTGTGTTCTTTTGTATCTTATAACAAATATACTTTTCATCCTTGGAAATTTTATAGAAATCAATTACACTTGCAAAAAAGAAAATCCCAATAAAACTGTAAGTAGAAATTGCCCAAGCCACATAATCTACTACAGTGTAATAAAATTAGAGCCACCAAAAGGAAAAGTAAATTTAATATGATCACTAATAAGTTTCATAATGTTTTTCAGAGAGGAAACCAAAACTTAATGAAAATTAGTATGCTACGTGGCAAAAGGTTTGCACGCAGTTTGGCTAGCCATTGTGTGTACAAGAAAATTCATAGCCTTAAATATGTTTATTATTGCACCAGATCAAATGAAAACTAATGACTTAGACATTCAGATGAAGTCTAGAAAAATAAGAACAAAACAAAAGAGGAAAGATTGTCAATAATAATTGTTAGGAAAGCAGAAAACACTGGAAAATTTATAAATAAGGTCATTATGTTGGTACTTTTAAAAGACTACTTCAATTGCAGATTTTTAATAGAATGAAACAAAATGCAATGAGCAAAATATGACTCTAGAAACAACTTCAGATAGAAAAGCACGTGATAAAAATTATGCTACAGTCTGTACACCTCCTATTAGGGTGGATAGTTTTGTAGGTGCTCACATGCAGGTTGAGAAGGATTTCTCACACAGATTAGGCCTGCTTCAGACTTCCAGATTATCAAGCCTTAGTGGGCCAGGCCTCCACAAGCAGCCTTTTTTGTTGGGCAAGACCACTATAACCCCTCCCTGGTGGCTTTGCTGGGAGCAGACCTTTGACCCCTGCTGAAACAGCTATCTTACCAGCTTTGTGTGGAGCCCAAGAGCAAGCTCACTCCACCCAGCTCTGCCTGCCGCACCTGCTGTAGCAGAGAATAAGGACTGATGTGAAGTTTCAGGGCTTCATCCACCCCTAGGGAAATCAAGAGCTTGTTCTGAGGGACTACAGTGGATCTCAATTACAGGACTCAAAAACAATGCTGCAGCTTGTCTGTCAAGGGCCACCTACTGACAAGGAGGTCAATTTGCACAGCCCTTTTTGGCCTTTATTAATTCAGTCATACAGCATGTGATTGAACCTATCACCCACAAGCACCATCTACTGCCTTAGAGATTAATCTGGGCATGCCATTATCTAAACAAAAGAAAAACCCAAAATAAGC